AACTTAAAAGTCTTAGCACTTTCAACTGTTAAAAAAAAACCTACGAGTTGCAAGTAACGATACAAACGTCATTTGTCCAATAATCCAAATAAAAAGAAAGTTTTCTTCCACACTTTCAAGCAGCAAAATCCACTTAAATAAAACTGCATCAATAATCCTAAGTATACCCAACTAAATGTGAAAATTAGAAAAGAAGAAATAAACAGATTTTAGCATCCACTAGCACAGTTCAACGGTTTATCGTCTAACCAATAATTAAACATGGACCAGAGACAATGAGGCAATGAAACAGCAGGTGAACTGCAATGGCGGCGGAGAGAAATGTGCATTTGAGGAAGCAACAAATGGCAACAAATCTTTATGCAAATTAAAATCTACACCAAATACTCAACATAAATTCAGAAAGTCGATTTATATTTAAAAATCGTATCTAAAAGCTAAAAAAAAAATATTTTTTTTAAAATCATCAATTCTTCAAATACAAGACAGTAATTCCTATCTGGGAGAGCAGGGCCAAACATCTACAAACAGTGACCTAGTCAGAGATAAGTAGCAGGAATATACCATGAAAATAACAAGTATAGCTTACAAAGCATAAATAAACAGATAATATCACAAAATGAGCTCTAAAATCAAATTTTCCTTGTCGACTCTTACTGATCAGAATTTTTGGTTCACTTTAATATTAATTTTATTTCCATCCTTTGATAAGAGTTTGCCAACATATAAAATTTTAAAACAAAAAATTCAAATAAATAAACCGGGTAGATGGGAAGGGAGAAAATTTAGTTGTCTACGTACAGAGGAAAACGTCTATAATCAATGTGTACAGTGCAGAATGAAAACATTACGGAAAAAAGGAATATGTACAAAAGTTCTCCTTTTTTTTTTCAGAAAAATTAGTGTACAAACAATAACAGAAACATTAGAAACAGCAATAACAAAGATGGAAAATTGAGGGAAAGTGTAGCAAACGAAACTAAACTGGAACTCGGCAAGATTTCTGCCGTTTTTCCAACAACGACAATAACGACAACAGTGGTGCATCTCATAAAACCTAAAATTCTTATATCCTCCACCTCCATCAAGTTCTAGATAGAAAAAACCTCGTCAAAATAAATGTTGCTGAGTTTAAAATCAAAAACTTCACGGAAAAACTGTCAAACGCTTTACCTTCCTTTTCCAACCAGAACGAGAAACTCCAAAAACGAAAATGCTGTCCAATGAATTTGAATAAGAACTTCTCAGCGCTACAAAATTTTCTACATTTGTCAGAAAAACCTACAACGAATCAAGGTACTTCTTTCTTCCAACGAACACTTTCTCTATTTTTTCCAGGAAAAAAATGCCAAAAATAGTCAAAATACAAACATAGCACTTATAAACTTACGAGCTGTAAAGTACAACCTACAGAAAATAAAAGTTTTGAAGGCCATACAATTCTTCTTTTCTTCCCCCCCCCCCCACAAATTTTTTGCACAGGTGCTGAAAAATCAAAAAAGATCCCTTGAAAAGCAATGAAAGTGTATCACAAATACATTAACAGTACCGGTTCAACACTAAAACAAAAAAATAAAATGAGATTCTAAAACATAAAAGGTAAAATGACATAACACCAACAAAAACTTGGAGCCAATTCTTCAAAATAACAGCCCAGTAAAAGTAAAAAATCAAAAAAATTTTTTTTATTAATCATCAAAACTGAGACTGACCTGCTGTTTCACTACAAAAACCTTAGTAAAGCAAAACCCACCCAAGAATCTTTTAAAATTAGATTATTTCACAGACGTCGTAGCATTTCTGAATTTGATGACAATAATAAATGTAATAATACTAATACTAACAATAATAATAAATAACAGCAATGACAACAATATAAACAATAACAAATACAGCGAAAACACCAGGCTGAATTCAATGACATATTCAATAGCATCAACAAAGGTAACGAAAACATATTGCTGTTTAGGTGCTACAGCAGAACAGACAACAATTCAAAATTGACGAAATATTGTACAACAGAAAATTTCTTGGCGACCAGTGAGACAAATAAACTGTTTTTTCCCTATGCGACAAATAAATGCTACAACGGCAAAAATAAATCTAATTTTTTGAAAACAAGTCCGAAGTTAAAGAAACTCTTTTTGAGAAGTGCCTTACAGTGTCTATCAAAGAGCTGTTGGAAATCAGTATATAAGAAAAAGTCCAATTTTAATCAGCTAAACATCACAAATCTGCAATTCTCTGAAGAGCCTGAGTTATCAATAACTTTCAACAAATATTTCTTACTCAAAAAAAATGAGAAAATTTAAATAAAACTGTAATGATTTTTAAGAGTACAATTAATTGTATGCATTAAACGGTAAAATGCCCCATATTAGACAAAAAAATTTCGCAAAAACTAACCAAACTCATCCCTAAACTTAACATCTTTCCACTATCGCAACGTCTACTTATTAAACACTTCCTATGAAACATAATCGAAACCGTCAAATATGTCAAAAATATTCCGCTTTCAGTTGTTTTTTATTACTGGGAAGATTCTCACAATTCCAACAAAAAAGTTGAGGACAGTTAAGGAAAGTTACCGTTTCACAGAAGCACAGTGCGTGAACTTTTTTAAATCAAATTGTTTGACTACTGTATGAACTACTGCAAAATTATACCAGAATGTCCAAATCAAAAAACCGTTTTCGCTTACCTCTTGCTCACAACCAATACGCTCCAGCTCATTAAGAGACGTTGTAGAAGATGCTATCCTCTCTTCCGTAAAAGTTAGCTTCTTATCAATAGTAAGAATCCATTTACGAAGCTTTCGTAAAAGTAGTTTCTCATTTTCTGAAATATGTAAATAATTACTAGCTTCACGAAACCAACAATGACTATTCTAAAATTGTCAAATGATTTAACTAAGACGCTCAAAACAAGACCATGCTTTACAATAAAACATAAAAATAGCAAATGAAAAAATAAGATGGATATTACTTGTATCTTCACCACATTTGTACTAAAGTAAAAAAATAATTACTTTTATCGCTGGTTGTGATAGAGACCTCGTTCATCAAATTTACATTTTCAAGAGCACGGCTTACTGCTTTTAATCTAAAGCACAAAATATTTTCATTCTATATGTTCGATGTTAAGAAACACAGAACCATTATTGTCTGTTCGATCTAACTAACCGTGTTTGCTGAGAATATAAGAAGAAAGATAGAAGAACAAAACAACTTATACTAAATTAGAGTTTGCGGGATACGTCAGATAAAAGTAAGAAAGCCGTAGGATAAAACAAATGACTTGCATAATTCAAATGCCTACTAGAAAAGATTTGTGAAACCAAATTATTCTAAACTTTTGAACTACAACAAAAGCAACAAATACCTTAACCCAGTCTAATCACAAAACGATTATTAAGACAAGAGAGATTTCGCTAAGACGACTAAAAATCATGCTCCAATAAAACCAAAAAAAAAAAATTAGTAGGAAAAATTAGGTTAATACGTATTAGCCTATAGAATAGCAACAAAAGCGCATAGGAATACAGTTCTACTTAAACAGATAAAAGGAAGGAAGCCATAAATCATTTATCAAGTCTCACCAATTACTGTAAACCATGATTTTTACCCAGTTAAGAACCAACAAAACGGTGCCATTGCAATTATGATACTCTTGAGCTCCTCGAAAAAAAAAAAGTTCCTCCCACCATCCGTGTGAGAGCTTTTTCAGTTTAGGGACCCCATTATCCTTTTCAGTCAATAAACAATAACCTTAATAAGTTTGACCATTTCAACACAATCAATAAAAGTGGGGCCACCAAACTAAAATACAGCCTTAGCAACTACAAAAAAGGAAAGACAAAAAACTTGAATGAAACAACAAAATTGAATATTTTCCACTAAAAATTACTTGTGAGTAACCATCCCAGAATACTGAGGAGCAACTTCCGACAGCTGCTTCCCTTGAGAGACTAATTCCATTTGCCGACGAAAAATTATTTCTTTAGCATAGAACTCCTGAAAACAAATAAGCTTCAGAATTAAATAAAAGCATTTAAATCTCCAAACGTAAAGAAAAACAGACTAGAATCTTCAACTTATTACTAGATATTACTTTCTGAAAGCAAATTTTTAAAAACTAAGTGCTTGAGAGATAGCGTAAAAAAATCCAAGAAAAAAAAAGCAATAAATAATCCAAACGGAAAAGGGAGCGGCAGTAACAAGTTCGCTCCTTCAAATTGAAAAACAATGAATAAGAGCAAAAGCTCCAGTGGAACAAAACAGAATTATAAAACACTTAAGACTGATAGCTACATTAAGAGAAGACGGTGAAACTCACAAGTTGAATAAAAAAATTTCCCAATTATTCTGTAACTGCTTAAAGTTAGAAATCTGGATTGCGAAAGAAGATTAGACAGACGTGGCCAGGAAGAAAAAACAGTTGATAAGTGATAATAATTTCAAACTGTCTACAATAAACCACTACAGAAAACTTAACCTTAGTTGCAATAGCCGTAAATGACTTGTTCATGTTCTTCTTTCATACTAGACAAATTACTTCGACCAACGATAAAAAGCGACAAAAAAATGAGATTACTGTTTACTGGAAACTCAAACAATTCTACTTTTCCTCGAAATATTATTCTGGTATGCTTCTTTCATCTAACAGCTGGAGACATCTCTAATTATTAACTAATTCAGAACTTTTGAAAACTGTTTTTGAAAAATAAATATTTTAGTACTACTAATCATACAACAGCCTTTCTATAACTCCTAGATCCTGAAATTTTTCAAAATCCTTTACAACCAGCTTCTTGACAAGAAGATTCATCAGAAAAGATTTAAGCAGATAACTGGTTGACAAAAAACCTCCGTTAGTCCCAGTGAAAAATTTTAACCTACTGGAATCCATAAAAATCGGTCTTTTTCTTCTTCCTTTTTCTCAGATCCCCAAATCAAATCTTAAATGAAAAATGAAAGAAGCAAAAAAATGAGCAGTCATTACGAATAAATCGATGTGTCGTTACTTTAACAATGTGAGTCAGAGTAGAAAGTACAACTAATCCCAGTAAAAAACAAAAATTCATAAATTGATCAAAAACTATGGAAAAAAGTAGGAGAACCACTAATTTCAGAAGAGTCGCTAATTTAAAAACAGTAATGTTATTTGAGACCATTCCTTTTTCTATTTCCTTTCACTTTTCTTTGTCCGACAGCCCGTTAAAAAAGAAAAGGGTTATTATAACTTACATCTTCATCCAGTTTTGAAGACTCAAAACTTGCGGTAGTCACAAAAACTTAAAAGAAAAGAAATTTTTACTGCTAAAAATAAAAGAACAGAAAAATAAGCGCAGTCAAACATAATCAAACACAATAATACAGCCAAGACAACTGTTAGAAGGAGAGATAAAACTCAACACCGGAAAAAACTACGAGAATGAACTTGTTGAAAAAAACTTTTTTCAAGTTTTTCGAAAAGCTGAAATCAAACTGAATGATTTCGAACCCGCCGAAGCCACAATTAAAAAATTGTAGATAACAATGGTACATACTTTCCTTGTCATGTAACTAAACGCTTCCATTGAAGAAACCAACTAAGACTGTAACCTGAACAACGGGTCGAGTTGTTGTCGAAAAACCGTGGATTGTGCGAGAATACGCTAATCTCAAGCGTTTTCGATGAGAAACAACTGTAGTGCACCAAATGCGCAACATTAAAACCCACCGGTAATCAGATCAGTGGCGCTGATACCTCAAATGAATCGCTGCTTACATATGAACCGTCTTGGTCTCACTTATCCAATGTCCTACTTCAATGATATTAACAACACCAATGACAGCAAACTGTGGAGAGAGAAGCTGAAAATCCTCTGTGCAAAAATTTCCAACAATTTTGGGGAAATTAATAATAAAAGTGCTATCTGTGAAGAACCCTGAAAAACTAGCCGCCAAATCAGTGAAAAGTTGAAACAATTTTTTAAAAGACACTTCCAGGGTTTAAAAAAAAAAAAAACAAAAAAAAAAAAGAAACCCAAGACAATAATTCATTGACCAATGTTTGAATAATTTTGTTAAACAAAAACTGCTATGCAAAAAAAACCAACAAACGGAACGTCCAAAGAAGCTCAAAAATTTAGAACACGGAACTGTTTCCTGAATCTTCTTCCCGTTGCTTCCTTTTTTTTGCTGAAATGCTCGGTATTTAAAACTAAAAAATTGCGGCATCATCCAGAAGACGACAGAACCATTACTTTAGAACTTTCGCCACCGAACCTGCAGGGTCATCGAGGATTCCAAAGTCACACAAAGACTGCAAAGGTTGAAGCGGTTTGTCAATAGATTCCCTTAGAATTCAAAGGCTAAACGACATAATCGTATAGAAGGCATCCTAGCGAGGAACTTTAACTGGAGACAGAGCTTGCAATCAGTGCCAAAAGATTCCGTAAACTTTTTCTGCCAGTAAGGTCTTCCCGCCACAAAAGCCTTTTTCGGACGAACTTTCCAAATGCAGTTTCGTTAAGACGCTACCAAACGCCTACAACACTGTTTCAGTCGCTTTGCTCGGCTGAAATCAGTGGTTTAGCGTGCAAAATATTAACGTGCTGTTTTTATTACTTTGGTTGTTATCATGGCGCCGTTTTAGACAGCTTACTAGAAGCGTCCGGGTAAGGATTATGAAGAAAAGATCAGACTTGGCCATAACCTACTTCAATAGATCCCTGTTGCATCCGATAAGGAAATGATTGTAGACATTTGTTTCAGAAAAAAGATTAGGGAAGAAAACAACTGGTCAAAAATCAGTGTTGTTGTCCTCAAAACTTTCTTTCTTTGCTAGGAATCTTTCTGTGGTTATTTGACGTCACTGGCCTTCTAAACATGTACTTGTAAAGTCAAGGAAAATACTAAATATAAAAAGAAGCTCTAATCCAAACGACGATTTCAGCATTTGTTAATTCCAGTTGTCTTCTCTAGTAATAACAGTAATACTGGACGACAGAGAAAGGAATAAGGGTGAAGAGATAGTGAGACAAAATACTTTGTTCTAATACGCTTTTAAAATGCTCAAAATTTGCTTTGTGCTCTTTTTTTTCGGCCCTGTTAATTACTGTTGAAACTTTTGAATGGATTTAATTAATTAAAAATCAGATTATTTGTTTTAATTTTGTCTCAAAAATAAAGAACAAAAAAGGTTGCAATTTTTTTATTAAAAAATCTGTCCAAAAACTCGAAAAAAATAGCAGTTATCTACTACCGTCTATAGTAATTAAACTGCTTTTTTGAAGGTCGCGGTGATCACCATAAAAATCCAGAAACATATTCACTGAGATCTGAAAAACCTAAGGAAAAAAATGAGGAAAAAAGTAAAAAATTAAGAAAATAAGCACTAAAATTTCCAGTGTAAAGTCATTGACTAAGGCAGCTGGATTTACTTTCAGTAAACTCTAAGATAACCATATTAAAATTATACCTTCACAATAAAATAACAAGCCAGAATAAAATAACAAAACATATTTCATAAATTAATTTAAAGATTATAAATGCAGAAGCAGTTACTGTTTCAGCGACCTTTGAACCCAATGAACAAAGAAAACATTTTTAATTGCTTTAATAACTTTCAGCCTATAATTAAAACTGCCAATACGGAGCAGCAGCGGTAGCAACGTCACCAGACAATATAAAATGACAGCATACCTTGCCGTAATCTGATTTTGTCAAAGTTGGTGATTAAGAATAAACTAGATAGAAAGTAAGGGTCGACAACAAAAAGAGAAAAAATACAGAGAAAAATGTGTTATCTGTACCAGTGATAAGGTGAAATGACTGTTGGAAGTGTCGTAATACCAGTACAAACAAATCTTAATTCTGTAAAACTAAAATCAGTCTGATGTATCGTAGAATAATTCAGCTTATTGCTGAGTCTAAGCTGCATGTACTTACGGTGGAACCTCAGCAATTGCCAGTAACAAATGGTATTTTATTGAATGTTACTGCTGAATGATCCATGAAAGAGAAAACCTTCCGCCACCTACCCTCGTTATCGACATAGTTAGTCAGCACAAAATTCATTAAATTCTTTCTTAATGTTGTTGTGCCTTGTTCAAATCAATGAACTTTTTTCCTATAGCAGAATTATTCAGTTCAGTTACTATTCCAAATAAATAATAAACAATAACTGCTTTCTTATTATTCATTCGCAACTATTTCAACAGAGAAAAATAAGGAAATGCATATATTCCGTCAAGCCGTGGACTACTGTAGTAAGTAAGAAAGAAAATCAGAAGCAACTAAAGCTACTATTTCAGTAACCCGTAAATGAACTAATAAACAAAAAAAAAAAATTTTAATTGCTTTGATTACGCTCCGCCTGATAATCAAAAGTCCTGATACTAGAAATTTAGTGTTGCTGTTGAAAATCAGATATCACTACGACACTTCTCCTCAGTTAAAAGGAGCCATCAAAAACAGAAGAACAGAAATTTTTGTTCAGTGATTCTGATAACTAGAAGAAAGATGAGAAAGGAAAGGAAAGGTGCGAAGATGGCATGAGAGACAGGAACGGGAATTGGGAGCTTTGGGGGAAGTAGAGAGCACAAAAATGCTTATTTTCCAATTTCGCTTTGTTTGTTTATTGAGTAAATTTGAAAAACTTACATACTAAACGTCAACATGGCGACTAGTTGGTACCCGAGCCTGAGGTGTTTAAGTTCTAAGAAAAAGCTGGTTACATACTGAATCACTAATACAAGCGGTAATTACACTGTTTTGAATACATACCTTCGAAAACGCAAATAAAAAAAAAGCACCACCATTAACCGCAACAACAACAACAAGTTTTGTCATCAGTTGATAATACATTTACTGCGGCTCAAAAAAAAATTTTTTGGCACATCTTAAAGAATCCATACTAATTTTTCAATTCACAATTAACGTAGTAGTTGTTGTTTTCGTTGTTGCTAACAATTTCTTCTCATTTAGGTATTTAAAACCTGAGCAGCTGCAGACAAAATAAATAATATACAGATACTTTTCAGACCCTATAATACTACATATTTCCATTGTCATACAGTATTGGCTGTAAAAATGAAAAAAATAAAAATAAAAAATTTTTTTTTATTACTTATATTACAAAAAAGTCACTACGTTAAGAGTTACCCAATCAATGCAACAAATAAAAATAACAGTGAATGGCAATAAAATACCAAAAAAAAAAATTAAATTAAAAAAGAAATAAAAACAAATAAAAAAGAAAAAAGACAAAGAAAGAAAATTAAAGACCAATTTTAAAACAAGCAAAGAAAAAAAATAACAACGAATTGATGGAAATGTTTAGCTAAAAAACACAAAAACATTCTAAACTACAAGCAATAATTCATTTATACTCGTTACCACTACTCGATTTGTTCAAGCTAGTGAAATGTTATTAAAACAATGCTGCTGCATCAAGAAAAAAACCACAGAATGCGTATGCAAACGACTTTTGGAAAGGGTAATGAACAAAAAAAATAATTTTTTTAATGATGACGAAGGCAA